AAAAACAAGAAAGATATTGAGACTTTAGTTTCAGCCAATCAGAGTGAAGCGCACGTGCATGCGCGTGAGATCTTGCTTTTTTGACCATGTCATCTTGTCTGTGCTTCTAATATATACTTCTAATATGAGTTTTAAAGCATATCATCAATAATTTAAATAGTTACGTCTGTATCAATTATATTGGACATTTCTCGTGTTGCACGTGCGAGCTCTTGCAAGCACACGTGCATGCACATGCTTTCATGATATTTCTTTTATTACGGGCTGTAGATCTCCCTAATGTATGACTATGTTCAAAATTTCAAATGATTTTATCAAAAAACAAGAAAGATAATGAGACTTTAGTATCAGCCAATCAGAGCGAAGCGCACGTGCTTGCACGTGCGATCTTGCTATTTTGACCATGTCATCTTGTGCATACTACTCATATATCCTTACATTATGAGTTTCAAAACATTTCGTCTAAAAATAGAAAAGTTACGGTTATATCCATTATATATTGGTCATTTCAAGTTTTGCACGTGCGCGCTCTTGCAAGCACGTGCGCGCAAAATGACCTTGATTCCGCAAATCTACATAACATGCCTACTTACCCTAAAAAGGTTTCCCCTTAATCGGATGTGTAACAAGATCATTCGCGGACAAAATTTTCCCGAGAAGAAAAATAATAATAATAATAATAATAATAAGAAACAGAGTAAAAACAATATGTTCCCCAACTTCGTTTGGGGAACATAATAAGAAACAGAGTAAAAACAATTGTTCCCCAACTTCGTTTGGGGAACATAATAATATTTCGTCGAATTTTCAAGAATGCTTCATTCTTGATGGCTTATCATAATTCAGAAATTTTGTTCGGTTTTAGCTGTGCAAAAATACTGCTTAACACGGCACACATATCTTTAAGCTTACAGCTTAAGTGTTGTATTATTTGTCTATTTTGAGGCAAAGTCTGTCAAATAATGTGTGAAGAATATACTTATATAAAGCTGCTACAATAAGGAAAACATATTTGAAAAATAAGCCAACTTTACACATATTATGTAAATTTGAATGTTTGATATGAGGAATATCATTTAAAATTGATCACATTAAAGCAAACACGTTCTTTCATGTAGTACTAGTGCTTTGCATTTCTGATTATTATTTTCACACTGCATGTGAAAAAATATCACTTATATTCAATGGACGAAATATATTGCAAGAATTTCACTGTTGAAAACGATGTATGTATTGTCTTAATTCATGAAAACAAGAAAGGCTTTGTTAAAAGAGGATTTAGTGGAGTTGTTAGTTTAGTCAAAACTCAGCATTTTTTTTGTTAATATTAAGTAGAACTACGATTGTACAAAGATAAAAAAAATATTTCGAGTTAATTTTCTGACGTAAAAACCTGGAAATCCATTGGCTTACAGGGCTTCGCTATAAATGGTTTATCGAGTCACTGAGATTTTTTTATATACATATAATAAAATAATTCCATGGTCATACATGTATAGTCAGGGAGATTTTGGCTATAAGTTATAAAACTGATTCCTTGACTAAATCCGTTATTTTGCATAAACGGGGAAGAAGGGATGTTGGCAGGTATCAGGCGCGGATCCAGGATTTGGAGTTAAGGGGGGGGCGCCAAAATTAGGCAAGGGGTCTGGGGGCCGCCTTGAGGCCCCCAGTGGGTCCAGGGCAAAGTTCTGATGGGGGCCTAGTGGGCGAAGCCCCCGGAAGCTCCTTGATTCAAGAGATTTTGAAGGGTTAAAATGAAGTCTACCAAAGCCCTGGTGGGGGGCCAGGGGGCGAAGCCCCCGGGAGCTCCTGGATTCTAGAGATTTTGAAGGGTGAAAATGAGGTCTACCAAGTAGACATATTTGATTTACGTTAACTTTGACAAATTTAGGGGGGGGGGGGGGCGCACCCCCCCCCCCCCTAAATCCGCCACTGGGTATAACAAAGTAGTGGCGCTGTGGGGCCGTAATAAAACGTAAAGGGTTAATTTAAGATGCTGTTTTCCTTATGTATATATTGTGAAGCAAAAAAAATGTCTTTTGAACACATCCCCTCATTCCTTAAAAAAAAAGGTAAACCCCACCAACAGCGCATAGAAATAGATTATTTTTACACGTTTGGGAAAATGATATAACATGGTTTTTTTTCTTTTTTTATTTTCATTTGTTATTGCTTATCAAGGAATTTCTGGATTGGAAATTTTTGGACTAACGATAACCCTTTCCCACATTGAGAAATCCCTGAATCCGCGCCGGAATATATAAATAGATAAACATGTCCAATCATCTTCCAAACTTAAATTTATAAATATGTCCCCATTTCTGTTCTTTGTGTATGAGGGACTGAGTAAAGGTCCCCAATTCTGTAAGCTTATGAGAAGTTGTCCCCAACCTTTACACAGAGGTCCCCATATTGGCACTTCCGGGTCCCCATTTTCTAAATTTATGAATATATCATTCTAGCTCAAAGACTCAGTTTACCTACTTATTCCAGGATACTTACGGGGTAAAATAAGTTAAACAATACCAATTCTGCCACGAAATCGCTTAGTCCCCATTTTAAGATTTTTTGGCAGGGTCCCCAGATCGAAGTCCAAACACGTATACACACACACACACACACACACACACACACACACACACACAGAAATAGGATTTTCGAGTTTTGGCAATGTTTCCTTTTTTTTTTGCTTGTCAACTTTTTCAGGTAACTAACAAATATTTTTCTCTGCCTGCCCCCCCCCCCCCCCCTTTGAAAACGATGCTACTTCACTGATGTGAGGCCTTCCTTGGCGTGCTTTTTCATTTTAATTATAATACAAGTGCGTGAGGTTGCTGCTAAATGGAGATTTTTCATTGCTTCATTTGAAATATCCAAAAACATTTATCTTATCAGGGACTTATATACTATAAATAGCATAGGTCCCTGATTTTATAATTGATATTTAACTTTAATGTACTTCCTAGTTTGTCAATTCGTTGGGAATCTTCTCGGCTTTCTCGCCAATTCTGTTTTAACATAACTTATCAACTTTTAATCAAGTAAATATGTCATCAGCCTCAGAATTTTAATTGCGTTAATATTTTTCACAATTTTCGTTGCTATCCCTCAACACAAACTTAGTTTTGCGTCAGCTACTTTGGGAGAACTGATGTAAAGCACCTGTTGGTTAATGGATCATGGATCATGTTGGATCATGATATTGCATACATGCCAACTTTCCCGATTTAGGCAAGATCCTCCCGATTTTACTATTTCATCCCGCCTTCCCGATCAGGAGAGAAAAATTGCCCCAATTTCCCGATTTGAAAAAATATTATTGGTGAATTCTAGACAGGTGATAGATTCGGTTAGAGAACTTTTATATCACCAGTGTCTATACTTAAACCAAATTCTTACATTGAATCCAAATTTCAATACATATCAAACACCCAATTTCATTCACATTCAGATACTAATTTGAAACTAATAACATATAAAAACGTTGGAACCCACTGGTTTTCTTTCCGTTACACCGAATGTGCAATGTAACGGAGAGAAAAAACCATGGGTTCAGACGATGTTATAAAAATTACCCCCCCCCCCCTCCTGCAAAAACTCATTTAAAAATTATTTAGAATTCCCACAGGTGCTTGAGGACAGGACCCCCCCCCCCCCCCCGATATAGACCCCCGGACCTGTTAGACTTTTTTCACATAAATTATATATGGATGACACATTTGTGGTATAATCTATCCTATCAATTCAGAAAATTTGTTTAAACTAATATTTTATAAAAATTTCTACCCACTCTCTATATATAAATTAACAAGGTTGCCAACTTCGTCTGCAAACCGTGGGGAACTGCCGAGAATTTAGGTTGAATCGTCTCATAAATCTAAATAAAGCCCCAAAATCGCTTTTTACGGAGTTAGCAACCTTGTTGATTTTTATATAGAGAATGTAGGGTAGATTTTATAAAACGTTTGTTTCAGGTAATTTTTCGATTTGTTGGTATAGATCTTATCACAAATATGTCAATGAAAGATTATTTATGAGAAAAAAGTCGAAAAAGACTAGGTGTCTATATCGAAGGGGTGGGTGGGTCCTGTCCTCAAGCACCTGTGAGAATCCCATGTAAACTTCATTAAATATTTTTCGAGCTTGACTGGTATTTCTTATGAATTTTCCGGACAGACATGTGTACAATAACTTAATTAGTTCGGATAATATTATAAAGGATTAATATGGATTTTTTTTCTTGTTTAACGGACGGATGGACGGACAGGGCAAACCCCTTTCGATTACAGAGGCATAAAAAGAGTATAATCTATTTGGGTAAACTGAGAAAAAAAAAAACTTTCATCTGAAGCCCCCTCCCCAGAACACAATTACGATGTGTTTGTGAAAAGCTGATGACAGCTTATGGCGAAGGTTGAAGTTTCTCACATGCAAGTCAAACCCCAAGGTTAAGTCACATGGAATTTACACCCGTGAAACATGAAACCCCTAGTACACACGTACTAACGGTGAAAAAGGGATGACCATAAAGGTTCAAGTTTTCTTATTTTCAAATGTCAAAGTAGAATAGATCAAAGTCTAAGGCCAAGGTCTAAAGGTCAAATATTTCTTACACCAACTGAAAAATCTTGCGACAGTAAATACACATGTGAAGTATGAAACCCATAGCACCAACTATTCAAAAGTTATAAAATTGTTAATAAAAATTCTGAAATTTTTGGTAAAAGTTTGGTACCCAAAGGTGATGTTACAAGGAATATGCCTTTGAAACATGAAATCCATAGCCCTGTCCAATCAAAAGTTCTGGGCAAAGTTAAAGATTTGCGAATAAACAGACAGATAGACAAACGGACGGACAGGGTAAAACTAATCTAAACCGTCATTTTTTATCGACGATTTTCCGGATTCATACCATTTATATTTGCGTATTACTCAACTCAAATCCCAATCGCCTAAGCGTTTATTTTTATCAGTAAGATAGCGTCATAACAAACTCCCTGTCAAACATTGATGTAATCATGGTAGACGAAGCCACGAAACGAACTCTTGCACAAATCCCTCTTTTAAAGACAAAGGCTGGACCAAGAGATGGAGAATTGTGGGTTACTAGATTGAAAGAAGAATATCAAAGTCTAATTAAGGTATTTCTGACAGGTTTTGACGGTTTCTTCGGCTTAAACCTTATCTATCATTCTGCCATATGTCATTTATGTTACTTTTTTAGTCTTGAAAACAGCTCTGATAGAATCAATAGCTTTAGCTATGTATCTTGAATTACCTACATAGCTTAAATTACCCACATGAAGTAGCTTTATTTAGCTACTTAATCAAACTTTTCCCTTGAATTATGATTTTCTCAGGATGTGCAGAAAATCACACTTTGATGAGGTCCAGTCCAAAGACAATTCTACCTTAGTACCAGGGACCTATATACTATGATAGGTCCCTGTTAGTACCTACGTAGCTACTTATAGCTACCTAGATATTTAAACCTTCTCCAGGTAGCTATTCTTACCTACTTTTTGGATTATTTGCATTTTGTGAATGAACGCATGAACAACGCAGTATGGTATGAATACAGTCACACTGATGATGAATACATTATAGAATTTGGGAAAACATGATTCTTTTATAACTTATCAATTTTGCATAAACACAACATCCAGTTTTATTTTCTGGTAACTTACAATCAAAATTAAGTCTAAAATTACAAACTTGTATAAATTTTTTAGGCAATCAGAACCTTCAAGCAATCCTAGACAAAAGATTGTTTTTGGATGATTTTTAATGCCTTTCCCCTCCAAACTCTGCCCTCACAAAAGTTTTCAAATCTCCTTGCCTTTTGACTTCTTCAGGGTTCAACACTAACATTTATAGGCTTTGGTCTGGCCGGACTAGCACTTCTTTACTTTAACTAGTCCGCGCGAAATCTTATGAGTATGTCAAAAATATAAATAAATAAATAGAATTAACATTGCAATGTATTTTTTAAAATACTTTTTTGAAATAAACAAAGCATTTACATGAAATGTTTTATACCAAGATTTGTTGAAATTGCGCGATAAGGAACTATGATTGAATTCCCGATCTCATTCGTTTTACTCTATACATGATTACATCATCCAAACATCCGAAATCTTTCTTTATGTGTCATCCTAAATCATGACAGCTAAAATGTTTAATTTCATACCAATGTGTATCAGGTCGAGGAAACTACCTTATATGGATATTGTTGTCATTGCGCACAAAGGTGCTCACAGCAATCAATGGTCCAATCCAGTGAATGAGCCGAAAAGCATGATGGTCTACTATATGTTTATTTTTACTACAAACACGTGGGTTAGGGAAATTAAGGGTGCGATTTCAAATGACTGCTGGAAAATCATTTTACAATTTTTTGAAACGTATTTGAGAAAAATACAAAGAATAGGTCTTAATTAAGAATTTCTATGCTCACATTTACAAACAAAGTCAGTTTTCCATGTTAAATAGTACTTTGAAATACCGCTCACAAAGTCTCCACAAGTAAAAAAAAAAAAGACTCCAGTACTCGATAATCGTAAATTTGCCATGTAACTGGTTGAATTAGGTGTTGCTCAGTTATTTGTTACTAGAAATTTAAAGTTCATGCATTTATAAAAAAGATTTAAGTTGCACGTTTTTTTTTTTAATTTACCTCTACATTAATTCATACATTGAAAATAGAACGTGTATTGGGTAGCATATGGTTACTGTATGTTTCGAAGTTGTAAACACTGTCAATACGTAAGCACACCTCAGTGTTGGATTTTTCGTACCGATGAATAGCCACGTGAAATTGTCTTTTCACTGGCAGTACAGCACGGGGAAAGCTGTAAACAAACGGACTTGTACAATGGAGTGTGGAAAACCCTATTTTTTATCATTTTTATGTAAATGTGAGCATGGGATTAGTAGATAATAATGTACATATTGTATTAAGCGTGTAAAATGCTTGGGAAAATGCATCACGCCTCTCCAAGAGTGATTTAAAAAACTGGCCTTTTCTGAGCACACACGTAGTATTTTTTGTAGTAACCCATAATGCAATTCATTGAGCTGATTGGTCGATCAGTCAGTCACGTTGGTTCCTCGCTTAACATGTAAATTTATTCCGACGTCACAGAAAATAGTTTCCTCGACCTGTGTATGAGTCCTAAATTTAAGCACCGAATTGACTCAGAATTACCTAACTTTCCGCCAAGAAACTAGAAAACTGAAAAAAAATATGGGGTTTTCTAGTGAAAGTTGTCGAGAATTGAACATCGGTAAATTCTTTTCAAAAACTTTATTAGTCCATTCGGACTAATTATCCACAAATTTTATTAGTCCGAATGAAAATATATTAGTCTGAGACTAACGGACTACCGTTAATGTCGAACCCTGCTTCTTTGTGTGCTGACATCATGCACAAAAAAGTCAAATGGCGAGGGGGCAACCTAATTCAAGTGATGCTTCATTTGCCATTGATAGGGCCATTTGAATGGCGATAGCATCCTTTTACTGACAATTATTTAAGTTATAGAAGAACCATCCCTTTACTGATTTCTTGCCTCACGGAAGTTAGATCCACGAAATAAATTTGTAAAAGGTAGGCAGAGTCGTGACACCATGCAAGTGTCAGCTGATGTCGCTGAATTCCCACTTTCCAATATGGCCTCAGCTCTGACTCTCACCTGCACATATCACAATAGAAAATGCAGGGGATAGAGTCAGAGGAATCTTAACACTTTAAGAGTCCAAATTTTAATCAAAATTATCTATGATTTATCTGCTATATATCCATTAAAATCAAGGGAAGTTTTTTTTTCTTGAAACGTCTTGTCACTGCGAGAACATTGTTTGCTGCGAGATGCATTACACTAAAGAATATGGGACCACAGGTAACTGTGGAAAAAAAATTGTTTGGATCAATGTGCAGACTCAGAATTTTATTTTCACCCAGGTGTTGCTTTAAGAGCTTGCACTTCTCACTGCATTCACTATCATTGTTAATTTTCTCTCTTCTTAACTATTAATTATACATGAGGGTGTTAAAATGTTTTTCAGTATGTCCAGAACAACAAAGAATCAGACAATGACTGGTTCCGTTTGGAGTCAAACAAGGAAGGTACTCGTTGGTTTGGAAAGTGCTGGTATATCCATGAACTCCTCAAATATGAATTTGATGTAGAGTTCGATGTAAGTTCTAAAACTTCTTTTCTTTATGTGTAGCTTATAAATGATTTTGTGCTTGAGTAAGACAAAAAAATGATTTTGAGACAGGTGATCAAACAATTGTGAGCTCTATATTGAACAAACTTGTATGGATATTGAATCATGTTGCATCTGCCATTTATGCGTGAACATGTAATAAAAAAAAAAAAAAACACGTACATCATCCATTGTTGATACTTAATAGATGGATAAGTTTACTAACTAAAGTATGCATTCTACTTCACTAATATTAATCCTAATCTGCTGCTGCATGCATCCTAAATTTTCCTCATGAAATATCAAGTCAAAGCTGTTTAAAAAGGTCATTTCTATAAGGACACAAGTCCTTTATTTATCATTTTACGAAGGATGCTGCAAATAATTATAGCATAATCACAGTATAATTGACCAAAACTGCATAGATTTTTGGTAAATAACTTGTTTATTTTATTCTACAAAACATTCTGTTTTAATTTGTTTTGTGTTTCTCGTGTTCATACAGATCCCAATTACTTATCCGACTACAGCTATTGAGATAGCTCTTCCAGAACTAGACGGCAAAACAGCAAAAATGTATAGGTAAGATATAATAAGCAATTTTCCTACATCATCATGAGGCAGGGTTTTCCATAAGAATTGAAATAGATAGAAACATTAAAAAGTAGAAGGGGTTGTGGGTTCTTCCTTAACAGGCCATTAGGGGGAATATCAAAATAAGGATACTGTAAATGTATTATATTTAGCGTGTACGATATTTGGCGGAAATTGACTTTTGAACAAGTTAGCGTACATTTGATTTAGCGCATTTCTTAATGTTCTTATATATGAGTGTATGTGCAAGACATTTAGCACTGTACTTGAATTAGCGGAAGTTTCTCTCCACCAAAGGCGCTAAAAAGAATACAGAGCCAAATATAATACGTTTACAGTATCATTATATACAGGGGAAATTTCCTGGCAATAGGGTGTTTGAGACAACCCTCTCATTATTATCATCATTCCTTTCTTGTTTTTATCATCTTCATTGTCAAAATTTTATGTAAAATTACTAAAAGAAGTGTTAAGGAACTTATATATTAATTAAAGAATACTGTGAATTTCATATGAAATGAATGAAACATTATACTCATAATTACTTGTAGCCTTCCTGTCCCCCATTAGTGGAGGGTCCTTTCATGAACATTTTGATACATGTTAATTTAAAAACAGGGCATGTGACTGTAATACGTGTGCTATTTAGAGAGGTATATCATAAATTGTGTTGTCTTGTTTCATTACAGAGGGGGTAAAATCTGCCTTACTGACCACTTCAAACCCTTGTGGGCAAGAAATGTTCCAAAATTTGGTATTGCTCATGCAATGGCACTTGGGGTAAGTTTAAGCCTGTATAGACAATTGATATTGTTGATATTATGGGAAGTTTTGTGTATTTTTATTGACAAATATCCATTGCCAAATTAAGTTTACATCAACCTAGTAACTTGTTTGACAAACAAGATTAGCATATATTCTGTCTATTATCTTTCTGGGTTTATGAGTGTATTTTCACAAAACAAGTTGGTTGATTTAATAGAACTCATGGGTCAGTTTCATACAAACTTTGCATAGTGTATAACTCAAGGAAACCAGTTTTATTAATCCATGGATCCTTTAAGGTTTTTCCGATTAAGTGATTAGATTTAACTTTTTTTTTTTTAGAGCAGATCCATTCTCAAATAACTCTGAGTTTTTTACTTACCAAACTTGCATGGATAAAATGCATCTAGGGATGCAGGATAGACTTGGCTTCAAGAGTCTGAAGTGACGAAATTTTCCAGATGAGTGATCAGCATGATATCAGTATAAAGTACTTGGAGAAGATCCATTCTTTTTAAGTTGAATGTTGATTGAACTTGGATAGACATGCTTTGCATGCTGAGTCTTATTGACTTATATGTACATTTAAAAAAAAATAATATTGAACAGTTTAAGTTTTTGAAGCAGATCCATTTCCAAATAACTATAAATAGTACTCAGGCCAAACTTGCAAACATGTAGAAGCTAGGATGCATTCTCCTAAAACATTCATACGAGATTTTGTAACCTTTGATTGCATTTGTTTTTTGTTACCTTTGATTGATATATTTGTTTTTCTTTTGTTTTAGTTGGGTCCATGGTTAGCTGTGGAAATTCCAGACTTAATACAGAAGGGTGTAGTGACACACAAAGACAAAAATTCTGGAGCAGATTCTTGATTATCCTTAGTAAACAATAACAAATTCATAAAGGAAAAATATGTGATGGACAATTCCTTAGACAGGGAACTGTGCAATGACCAAACCTGTGGTTATTTTACTTTTTTTTGGAAAAAATAGGGAGTCAGTGTGCAAAAAGTCAAGTACATGTAACTATGTCTTTCCTGTTGTTATAAACTTTGAAATTTTTTTTTTGTTTTATTGGAAAATTGATTATAAGTCTTTTTTGAAGAGAAGAAATGCATACAATTGTACATGTACCAGTAGTTGTAAAAATGTTATGTTGATGTTATTTAATTTAAAGTCTTTAATATTTCTTATTATGTAAAAAAAATATCCTCAGAAATTTTGAAAGAGCATTAATTTCTTTCAAGTACAAAAGATATTAAAAATAAATCATAAAATCTTAAAAATGAAATTTTGTGTTTTCTGAAAGATCAGTTTTGCTGAGGGGAGATTAAAGTATAGATATTTTAAAGGGTATGCTAATATCTTGTGTAATAATATGAAAACATATTTCATATATCATCGTACATCCTCTGTGAAAGAGCGAAAACAAGATGTGTTTGTGAAACATGATGCCCCCGTATGGCAAAATAGGAAAGATTATACTTTTCTTAAATGCAAGTTTAATATACATGTATTGGTACCGAAGTAGGATATTCTCACTGGAAATATAATTGTGAAATATGAAAGTAGGCCAAGGTTAAAGATTTTTTTCATTAATAAGGAAATCTCCAAGGTCAAATTCAAGGTAATTGATATCCAAGGAAAGGACTTGCCACAAAGAATACATATGTGAAATATGGAAGCCCTAATCCTAACCCTTCAAAAGTTATGATCAAGTTTAAAAATTTTAAAAAGTAGGTCAATCTCCAAGGTCAAGGGGTCAAAATTCTTGATATCAAACGAAAGGTCTTGTCACAAGGATTAAATATGTAAAATATGAAAGCACTTGCCCTAACTCTTCAAAAGTTATGGTCAATGTTTTTTTTTTAAAAGTTAGTCAAATTCCAAGGTCAAGGTATTCAATGAGGGGTATTCTCACAAGGATTACATAATGTGAAATATGAGAGCACTAGCCCTTACCTTTCTAAAGTTATGTCTAAGGTTAATGGTTTCTATGAGTATGGAAATTTCCAAGGTCAAGAGGTCAACATTGTTTGTATCCAATATAATGGTCTTTCCACAAAGAATACATACATGTATATGAAGTGTAAACGTCCTGGTATCCACTGTTAAAAAGTTATGGTCAAAGTAAAGGTTTGGAATTTTTATGTAAAAGTGGGTCAAACCCCAAGGTCAAGATCAAAATGTCAAATTTGGTGGTAACCAAAAGAAAGGTCTTGTCACAAGGAATACACATGTGAAATATGAAAATCATAGCTCCACTTAATCATCATTAATGGGCAAGGTTAAAATTGTTTCGAACAAACAGACAGACAGAGAATTAGATGGACGGACATGACAAAACCTATATACCCCCGAAACTTCGTTTAGGGGGGGCAAAAAAAATTGCTAGTGTTACTGCAGTATTCAAATGAATACTGTCTTAAATAGTTTCACCAAAATTGAAGACAAATGCAATGTTTTGAAAAATCTAGGCCATGGTCAAAGGAAAGGTCATGGTCAAACAATGTTGATGCAATAGATTCGCTCTCTTCAATGTTTCAGCAAATAAAGTTTGATGAAAAAAAATCTTTAAAAAAAAATTTCTTTGATATTGAGCTAAATGCCAAGTTTTACAGAAGAAAAGATAAAAAGGATGGAGAAAAGAAGACAAATATGAAATGAACACTGCAAGCTCCAGCCATATTCATGATGGGCATAAGAGTCATCATCTACAGCACAGACTAAAGGCTTATATTCGCATTATATTGAGGATTTTTAAAAGTACTGTCTTTTTATATGCAAAATACCTACTGAAAGAAATTTTCTTTCTGTCAAATGTATAGAAATACAGTGTACTAAAACTAAATTAAAGATTTAAAATTAAAGAAGACCACATCGTCGCAAGCCACGGGTTTTGTACATGTGTCCATTCTATTTCCACAAACCCGGTTTGCGACGATGAAGCCATAGATACTGCAGACATTTACATTGAAGGGGGGACCTAAGTCCGAAAAGTCTGTGTGAAATTTTCAAAACTTTGACATTTCTTTCCTGACCACTTGCTCTTAATTTTAGGTATTAAAAACGATACCTTTATATGCTTATTTTTACACAGGAGCACGTGCCAAAAACAGTGTAAAATGCTAAAAATAAATTATTTTCAGACATTCTTGTTCTACTCCAAATCAGCGCTAAAAAGAACCAAAAATGTCAAATCACATTCGAAATCAACAAGCATTCAATTTATATGACTCGTATCCTTAAAATGAATGCAAATCCATTAAAATTTATTTCGCATGAAAAATTATTGAGACGTACAATGTAAGTATCACCCCGTTTTTCTTGTCGTATTTTTTACAATTCTGACATGCATAACAGGTAATATCTTTAAAAGTCTTTGTGTGAAAATGTCGTCATTCGTATTTTTTGAAAGAAACGATTCGTCTTTTTATTTTAACAAAGAAAAAAGTATACCTTTATGATAAAATATAACGAGAAATATGACGTTTTCCTTTATTTCCCTACTCTTGTGTCATAAATTTTGACCTTTCTGCACTAAAATAAAGGTACGTAAACACTGACAAACATCTGAATATAAAACTATTTTGCGGAAAACGAGTATTTTGTTTTGATTTAGAACCATTTAAACAGATTAATTCTTTTCTTCTTCATTACAATCATTCTTTTTCTCTCCCCCCCCCCCCATTTCCCCGTCAACAACCAACACCTATTACAACCTAAGAATGACATTATGCAATAAAATCTACATGTACTACAGACCATTAAGCAAATATACGTACAAGCACATTTCTAAATTTTTTCTTACCGTTTATCCAGGAAATACGATTAAGGGTAAACATAAAATTAAACATAATATTTCCCTGATTTAAGCCGCTTTCTTTGCTGAATTTTATCTTAAATATTTTTGCACTTATATATCAGCATATCATCGAGGTATTTCTTCACAAAAATGCTATGAGTTATCTACCAAAGGAAGAGATTTTAAATTAACAAACTCCATAAATTCAATAAGACTGTTATTAATGAGAATTAATTTTCTTTTTGTAATTTTGTATGTTATTGATTAAAAAAATATTAGCCATATCACTATTGCAAATGTAAAAAACAAACGTCGCCATTGTGACGTCACATAACGCTGCTTTTACGTGAACGACATAGGTCCCCCCCTTTAAAGGGGGTGAAGGGTGTATGGTCCGTGACTCAGTTGATTTTTCATAATCTCTGATAAAATATGTACAAAACGAGATTGAAACCACAGTACTTGTATAATTTTTTTGATGTTTGTTTGCGTTCACCATCTAGTATAAAAATATCTGAAAACATTCAAAATTTCTTGCAAATATTATCAAATTACGGAATAGATTAATCCACTCTGCCGTTTTACTCTGCGCGTCCAGTGCGTCTTTGACGTCATAGTGGATTTTTAGTTCAGTAAGATCATACACGGTAAAAACGGGTAGTATAAAATCATAAAAACGGGCCATAATATGTACATGGTAGGGTATTTTGTAAATTTCAGAACGCAAAAAATATTTTTACATGGTTGTTGACGGAAAAGTTTGTGGGTTTGTCTTATTTCGCTTATTTTGGAATGTGTGACGTAAGTTAGTTTTCCGTACTCGAGAAATGTAAACATGACACGTTTTTCTCATGATCATGACTCGTTTAACTTTGCCCCGTGCAATATTGAGCTCAGCTCCACCAATCGATATTTTTACAGTTAATCAATACAATGACGACCTTGAACTTCGACGTAAATGTTCAAATATTGTATAATAGGATTTTTTTGCAAATTAATTTTTTTTTAGGTTTGTTGTCCTAAAAAAATCGTAAATTTCCATCTCCAATGTGGTGTTACAAAAAATCTTGCTTTTTCGAATTTTTAACCCTATTCATACTC